CTCCCACCACTGCTACTACTGGTTAAGCCGGCAGCAACCCACCTCTGGTGCACTGAGAGAGCTCAACCAATCTCTTTGTACATATGTTGTGCACTGACAAATAAATAATTCAATTCAATTCGACAAACGTTCCTCTGAAATGCTCTAATTCAGTAGCCCACAACCTTATGGGCACTGGGGACCGTTTTGGTGGAGAAAGGTTTTTCTGCGGACTGGAGGGGGACTGGTTTTGCATGCTGCCTGCATCCCATGGATGGAGCTTCACTCGTTTGCATCAACCAGTTGCTGGCAAGCTGTGGCCCTGTGCCGGTCCACGGACCAGGGCTTGGAGACCTCTGCTCTAATTCGTAGAAACTTGAAATGATCATGGAACACCATGGAAAAGAATTATGAAAATTTTGGTATTTCAAGACGTTTTTCCCCTGATGTGTTGTTACACAGTTATGTCATTGAATGGCATCATAACAGGAATCCAGGGTACACTAGAGCACTTTTATATGATAGAATCAAAGGAAAAAGAGAAAGTTTCTATTTTAATTGACTGAATAACAAATTTTGTGTCTAATTTTTCTTGATTTATTTGATCCTAATACTTTCATTTATTCCATGCCCTTTGAAGAAAAGAAATTGCTTCAATCTGAAGTCAATTTAAGTCTAAAGCTAAATAATGAACCAAGGTCCATTAGTCATACTTATGTTTTGCTTTTTTGTCCAAGTTGCATATACTGTCCTCTCCTTTTATTGTCTCATAGGAATAAACCTGTGGTCCCTGGAATTATCGGATTCCTTTTTGCAAAGCAGCAGGGTGAGGTATTAATTTGGAGAAAGGAATGTAATTTCTGTTTGTCCCTCCATTAGCCTTGAAAGCTATTTTTTAAGGAGGCTGGGAAATCTGCTGGATTCTAAGTCCCCTCTCCACCCCTGAAGCTCAGAGGACATTTCAAGAATGTTAGGATGATGAAAACTATGTGCTCTCTGACAGACCTAGCACTAGCAAATATCCTTAATACATCTTCTTTGGAAGGAAACACAATGGAAGCAAGTGGGGAAAAGACAATAGGATGATAAACATTATTATCCGAGCTTCTCTTGAAGTTATGTGCGTAAGGCAAGGTGATTGCGCCATAAAGTCTCCTCTGGAAATATCCTGGCTATTATGAAAATGAAGCATTGATTCTTTAGCAGGCAAGGAATTTATCATCCTGTTAAAAACTACAGAACTTGGCTGGGGCTAGATAAGATAATTGGGGGTCTCAGTCTGATAAGATGACCTAGAAATAGCAGCTATTCTTAGGCATGGAACGAGGCAGTTGCCTGAGACCAATTATAGGTGTTGGTGTCTGTATATGCTTGTGTGTGGGCATGCACACTCACACACAGATAAGTGGTTACCTTCTTAAGCCATCTGTGGCTTAAAGAGAGCCTTCCGCTGTAGAGAAAATTACACTGATGGAAATATTCAAATCTGCAGTGACTTTGTATCTATCTGTTCTACATCTCCATCTTGTTCCATAGTTTAATACATTTGTAAATGTTCTGTTGTCTGCAGAAACACTGTTTAATAGGTTAAAATGGCCCAAGAGAAAGCTCAAGCTCATTCTAAACTGAGTAATTCATCATTGACAAATAGTGAATAACTTGGGGAATGTACTGTGCCTTTTTCTTTCTTTAGATTTTTTTTTTAAAATAAAGCTCAACTGAAGAAAATAAAATCTTGGTAGATATCGGTATTATCTAACTATAGTACCAGAATGAACCCGCAGAGGGCAGGCTTCCACAAGAAATTTCCGCAAGTATGTATGAGCCCAAAGCCTCATTAGCTGAACAGAATCTCTCTTACTTTTTCTGAAGGTGAAAGAAAGTGAGGAGCTACTTTAAGGGGCTCTTCCTCTAAGTACCTTCTGTGGAGGAGGCTGATAGGATTTGGTGGCAACTAAGAACAGCAATGGTGGCTGAGTGGCTAAGACGATCAGCTTATCAATCAGAAGGTCACTAATCCTTAGTGGCGCATAACAGAGTGAGCTCCCATTACTTGCCCCAGCTTCTGCCAACTTAGCAGTTTGAAAGCATGTAAAAATGCAAGTAGAAAAAATAGGAACCAACTTTGGTGGGAAGGTAACAGTGTTCCACGCACCTTCGGCATGTAGTCATGCTGACCACATGACCACAGAGACATCTTCGGACCGCGCTGGCTCTTTGGCTTTGAAACGGAGATGAGCACCGCCCCCTAGAGTTGGAAATGACTAGCACATATGTGCGAGGGAAACCTTTAACTTAGGAACAGCAAATAAAGACTTTACAAATATTAATTAAAGATAACATGGCCTGGGAAAATGCCCCGATTTAGAATGCTATCTCTTTCTTGGCTGCATTACAATCCAGGAAGAAATTATAAGGATTTTAGTTTGACCAGTTTGCCTAGCAGCCTCACACAACTGCACGATGAGTGTAGCTTGTAGGCTTGTTGTAGTTGTTGCTAACTAAGACAACAGATCAACATGTTTTCAAAACTAAAGGGATGGAAATGCACCAGTCTGTACCCAGCCATCACATCTGAATGTCACATCTCCTCGGAAGCCTTGACCAACCAGGAGGGGCATGAATTTGAAAAATAGGTGGCCCCTTACAGCCCAAGGACTTGTCCACTTTCCACTAAGGATCAACTTAATCATCCTAAATAATGCCAATGGCTAGAGATCGGTGGACTCTTTGAGAGTAGTGAAGTATTCTCATTTGCCACAAGAAAATCCTTAAAAAGACTCTTCTTACCTGTGCTTGGTTATGTCTATTTTTTTTTCTTCTGCTCATGCTGCTATGTCTTTACTGTCCTTCCTTCTCCAGAACTTTTTCATAAATCTGGGGTTTTTCCATGATCCACGCATAGTAAGAGTCTGCACAGGTGCGACTCAGTCCAAAGTCTTCATTGTCACTCAGGAGTTTCTCAGTGGAATTATACCCCTGAATTTCAGGGATTAGCCTAACCTCCCACTGAAACCCTGAAGCTTGGTCTATAAGGCACCTGGGCTGGCTTGATCAAGAGGTCTTTTCTCCTTTTAGCAGACGTTAGCAACAGCACACTCCAAAGCTAACAGGAAGTAATCTGTCCAAGGCTAATAGTAACACTACCAAATTCCAGAACACTTTGGTATTACCTGAGATTAAAAAAAAAGCAGAAGTGCATGCACGTGTACACTCACCTTATTCTTTACAATGGGTACCTTAGATGTGAGGAGAAGGTGCCCCTCTCTGTCGTGAGAGAAGAGTTTTTCCAGTCTCTTGTGATTTACTTGGGTAAAATCAGGTAGAGAATTGGGAAGGGAAGTAAATGAAGACAGTGGGGAGAAGGAATTGATTGTTTCTATTCATGTTGTAGTGGGAAAGTTGAAATAACTGAGGGGAATTGAGGAGGTCTGCTAGGTGGATGTGTATTGTAATTGCAAGCCAGATCTTATTAGAGGGTTGTTACCTGACACTATTGGAGTGGAGTGGAAGAGGAGAACTAGGCAGCCCAGGAAAGTGAAGATATTAGGGAAGAAAGTAGTTATAGCAGGAAGAGGGACATTTAATGCGAAATGGGAGGAAAAAAAGTTGAGTATCTGGTACCAATCTCTAATGCCAGCCCCCTGTCTCGGTTCATGAACAAGGCATCCAGATCACTTGGGTATCCTTGTTTCTGGTTAATAGTTCTGAATGCTAGGTATATCTGTAATAAATTTAATCTTATCTACAATTTAATTGTGGATAAGAGATCAGATCTGGTGTGCCCTATTGAGACCTGGCTGAATAAGACGGGAGGAGTCTCCATTATGGACATCTATCCAGTCAGATTTCATATAATCATCAGTCCTGATTTCAGAGTAAGGGAGATAGCCTGGAAATTGTTTATCATGAGATTCTGGCCTTTCCAAGATCGTTTTTCTTCAGGAGGTCAGATATGATTTATTTGATCACATTGCAGTAGATTTATCCAGTGTTAGTTTTGGGCAGTTGTAGTCTGACATTTGAGATGGCTTCAGAATTCATGTCCATAATAATAATAACCATAGATTTGCCTAGGCTGTCACTGGTACAACCCATGTAGCTGACCATCTATCTGGCTTTTATTTTAGAGCAGTTGAGGTAAGATGTAGTACTGGGAGACTTTTTCCTTACTCACTTGTTATTGCCACTTCATCCGGTCTGTAAGGTTAACTGGAGACACTAATCCTTGCAGGTAGGAAGTGCCGATTACAATGGCCTACCCCAGACTTTGATGAACTTGGAGAAATTCCAGACAGCATTTGGGTAATTTCTTAGAGATCAGGAGGTTAAGTCTATTAAATGGTTTGTCTGGAATGTGAGAATGACTAGGGTACTAGACAGATTGAGCAGCTTCTCATTGTTTGTCAACCTTTGACTGTTTCTTTGAGGCGCTTTGGGAGATGAAGTGAGTGAATAAGTGCACGAGAAATGGTTATAACTGGACAAGTATAGAACTCAAATAAGAGCTTTTTTATTTATGGTGGTAAAAGTGGCTCTGTGGGAATATTTTTCAGTCCTCACTGTATTTGTAGATATTTAGCCTGATGTACTCATTAGTATGTTTCAAACCTTTCTTGGCTGGCAAACTCTGTTGATACAAGTTCTAATTGTCTGACCAAACATTTTATGATTAAAATAACTTATATTAACTCTGAATAGGAAGTTGGGTGGATAGAATCCAAAAAAGTGACAGAAGTGATGTTTGCAATATTAGTTGAAAGTTTTGGAGCATGTAGATCTCAGGAAGTAAAAACATATAGACTAAACTTCGTCTTATCTAGCTAACTAAATTTTGAAATAGCTGACATAAAGGAACTAATCTTGGTGCCCCGTGAGCATCACAACTTAGTGGAGATTTGAATGCTAGTCTCCCCAATCCCAACTGAGTTGTCAAAGTTTGATCTATTGTTTGAGTGTTGCAGATGTATAATATATCTCCATTGTCTTTTTCCTTCCTTCCCTCCCTTTCTGCAGACTTCACATCTAATTTGTCTTCTCAGCCTGAACTGTTAAGGATGGCTAACTTCACCAATGGCAATTTCACCAAGGAAAACACTGCTAAATATAAAATCGTGGAAATGATTTTCATAGTTACTGTAACTGGGTCACTTAGTCTTGTCACTGTGGTTGGAAATATCTTGGTCATGCTGTCAATCAAAGTGAACCGCCAACTTCAGACTGTCAACAACTATTTCCTCTTTAGCTTGGCCTGTGCTGACTTGATAATTGGCATCTTCTCAATGAATCTCTACACCGTGTATATAGTCAAGGGCTATTGGCCACTTGGGGCTGTAGTATGTGACCTCTGGCTGGCACTAGACTATGTAGTGAGTAATGCTTCTGTCATGAACTTACTCATCATCAGTTTTGACCGCTATTTCTGCGTTACCAAACCACTGACCTACCCAGCTAGGCGGACAACCAAAATGGCAGGATTGATGATTGCAGTTGCTTGGATATTATCCTTTATCCTCTGGGCACCTGCCATATTGTTTTGGCAGTTCATTGTTGGAGAGAGGACAGTACCAGAAGGACAGTGTTACATTCAGTTCCTCTCCAATCCAGCTGTAACCTTTGGCACAGCCATTGCTGCTTTCTACCTCCCAGTGGTTATCATGACTGTGCTGTACATCCATATCTCATTGGCCAGCCGGAGCCGTGTGAGAAGGCACAAACCAGAGAGCAAGAAAGAGAAGCGGACTAAGCCACTCAGCTTTCTGAAAAGTCCCCTGGTCAAGCAGAATAACAACAATTCTCCCAAGAAAGTGGTGGAGGTGAAGGAGGAAGCAAAAAATGGGAAAGTAGAAGAGCAGCCCTTGCAACCGTCTGAAACTACTGGCCACCAAGAGGAGAAAGAAACCTCTAATGAATCCAGCACGGTAAGCATCACCCAGATGAATAAAGAGAAACAGGGGCTGGAGATTGTACCAGCTGATACAGGCGAGAGCCCTGCCCATCCTCGGATCAACCCTGCCTCTAAGTGGTCCAAAATTAAGATAGTCACTAAACAAACTGGGACTGAATGTGTCACTGCCATTGAGATTGTCGCAGAGAAAGAAGCCCGTTCCACCCCAATTACCTTATCAAACAGTCGTCCGGCTAACGTTGCCAGGAAATTTGCCAGCATTGCCAGGAGTCAGGTGAGGAAGAAGCGACAAATGGCAGCTCGAGAGAGGAAAGTCACCAGAACCATTTTTGCCATCTTGTTGGCTTTCATTTTGACATGGACACCTTACAATGTGATGGTCCTCATTAATACTTTCTGCGATTATTGTGTTCCTGAAACAGTCTGGTCCATTGGGTACTGGTTGTGCTATGTCAACAGCACCATCAACCCAGCTTGTTATGCCCTTTGCAATGCTACCTTCAAGAAAACCTTTAAGCATCTTCTGATGTGTCAGTACAGGAACATTGGTACTGCAAGATAATCTGGATTTGGGGGAAGACTCAGCAATGGGGTCATTGTGGAGATTTGTTATTCTCCAACTAAATAACTCTAATATTCTTAGTCATAACATTCATTACTAGATGGAGCCTTTCACCAAATGCAGAATCAGAACTAGTGAAAACATACGATTTCAACATTCTTGATTCTTGAATATTCACCAAGAAATAGACAGATCTTCCACCCAGATGATCCTCTTGACTGTGCTTCTTCAGAAAACAAAGGAGGAGGAGGAGGAGGAGGAGGAGGAGGAAGAGGAGGAGGGAGAAGAAGAAGAAGCTAGGGATTAGATGTAGTGAAGCCTCACAGTATCACCAGACAGATGTAACAGACTGTGCTCTTTTGCCCTGCTGCTCTTGAAATACCATAAACTTTCATCAACTTCTAATTTCTGCCTGACTAAACTAAGATGCCTCTATTGGTGCCTAGAGAGTACATTAGAAAGAAATGGAACAAAAAAATATCCTTCTTTCCTTGGATGCATTGCTGGCTTTAAACTTGTGTGCACCTATGAGACAGAAAGAGTAGCAAGGGACAACAAGGTTAATTAAGTAAACAGTGAAAATGAAAACAAAAATATATTGCTTCAGCACCAGTCATCGAGCTGTATCAATTTCTATTTGTAGGCTCTAGGATTTTGTCTAGTTGAATTTCCAGTGTCCCAGGTGCAAGGGACTTGTTCCTCTCAGGGAATATATCAGCTGCTGGATAGACCTCTCCGCTTCATAGGCTTCTCAAGGACCTTACCAAATCTGCCTCAACTCCATTTCTCCATGGCAGACTTCTTTCAGGATGGGTTGAATGCCACCTCAGATTGTTTTGAAAAAACAAAAAACCATGGATATCACATGGATACTCAAAGTTAGTTCTACAACATTTTGGGTCACATGCCAAAGTTGTCTAAAGTTATTAATCTCAAAGGTAAGCATGGTGTCCTTGAAGCAGTGGAAGCTCAACTGCAGCTCCAAGGAGAACAGCAAGCAAAGCAACCATGATGGTGGGAAGAAGACCTCTACGCTGGCAAGTCTTTCTAAGAGAGTCTTTAAAGCCCTTTGTTTCTGTTCCTTTTAAAATTATGTCATCATACATACCAAGTCCCACTTGCTCCACACATATTTGCTTAAGTATCGTTTCTTCTTATGTACTTAATTTTTTTAAAAATCCTGATAGTAGGTTCTGAAGCAGGCTGTGGCGGAGAAAAACAATGAGCTGCTGCCCCTCTTGTTTCTGCATTATGAATTTGAGGGCATACTAAGAAGATACTCATGAGCTTTGTAAATGAGCATTGCCTTCCTCCTAGTCAGTGTTGTCATGGATCCCTCAGCATGTGGGTTCCAGTGTACATATGCAGCCTAAATCCCAGAATACTCATGTTCTGCGTAGACCAATTAAACCCATGTTTTGCTCAGTGTCTCTGACGGGCACCCTCAAGAACATATTAGAGCAGAGTTTAATAAGTGATCCAATGTTTCCTGGGTTGGTCGGAGTGACCATGGTTATAGACCTCTCTATTTCATGGCTAAGGGCTCTCAGTTTAAGATATGCCCTTACATTTGGCCAAAGGCTCCTGCTTCACGTGGCTGTAGAGGCAGCTAGGCTGCCACTGCCTTTCACATAATTTGCATAATGTTGCCCAAAATGCCTTGCAGTGTTTTTTAAAAATTAATTTATTAATTTATTTGTTACAACTACAGTGGGAACCACTTAAACAAATAAAATAATTGAACTACATATAGCACACCTCTGGGTCAATCTTTTTTCAATGAGTTGCAAATATTTTCCTCCACAGGGAATCATTTAAATTATTAGGGATTAAGCTTGAAACTCTCTCAAGATTTTATGAATTAAGAGCTCTCATGAAAAAACTCAAGATGAAATAAGGGAGTGTGCCCCCCCCAATCTTGTGACCTTTGGATCTGTTGGCCAGAATTCCTAGCCAATTCAATGTATTCCAAGGGAGCCAAATTGGAAACCTTCCAATTTAGATTATTTAAAATAACTGTTAGGATGATATAATAGATCTTTTGTAAATTTAATCAAGTTGTAAACTATATAATATGTAAAATAAAGTTACAGTAATCTAAAATAAGAAATAGTATTGGTTAAGATGCTTAAAGATTACTTGCTCAGAATTAACTTATTCTAAAATACCATTTTGGAACTAGAATGACTTAATAGGAAATTAAGAGTGCACTGTCACATAGCTGTATTCCCACAATAAACTAAGACAATTTGACAGGCCTAGGCTGTCAAATCTGGGCTATAGGTTAAGTTGTGATTAACTGGGATATTGACCACAATTTTAACAATGTTTTGTTAACCTTCTTTCTTTGTGTTTTCTGGACTTAGACATCAAGTTTAACTGCTTGTAAACTTTGGCTCTGGACTCCACACTAAGAGATGACTAGAATGATTGCAAAATGGGACTGCACAAGTTGCATCCACATATTTTAACAAAACAGTTAAAGCAAACATTTCAACTGGTTAGACACTGTCCAGGTAGTTGTGATATCTTTTATAGCAATAGCACTTAGGCTTATATATTGCTTCATAGTTCTTTATAGCACTCTCTAAGTGGTTTACAAATGTTAGCATATTGCCCACAACAATCGGGGTCCTCATTTTACCAACCTTGGAAGGATGAAGGATGAGTCACCCTTGAGCTGGTGAGGATTGAATCCTGGCAGTGGACAGATATCCTATCTATTTACACTGTTTTAATTCCTCCAAAATGCCTGCTAATTAGCAAAGCAGGAGTGGTCCACATTGATCCCTAAACAATGCTTATCATGTTGTGTGAAAATGTTTGCATCTCTGCTGTGGTTAAGTATGAAAAATTCCTCCATTAACTCACCATCAAGCCTATCATACCAGCTTCTTCCCACTTATTTGTTCCAGACACCAAAGATAGTTTTTTTTTTAATGAGGCAAAATGAGGTGGTCATTTGGAATGGCAGATAAAGGGTGCAGCAGTAGCAGAACCAGGCATGCCAACTTTTGGGTATGAAATGGGGATGTCATTTTAGCCTTGCCTAGGATACATTTCTTCAACCAAGCTTTAAGAATATAGAATCCTAGGACTGGAAGGGACCTTGTCTATCTCCCTGGCCAAGGCAGTAGCCTTATACCATGTTAGACAAATCTTTTGTTGAAAACTTCCAGAGATGGAGCACTCACAACTTCAGGAGGCAAACTGTTTCATTGATTGATTATTCTAACTGCCAGGAAATTCTTCCTTACTTCCAGGTTGGATCTCCATCTAATGCATTTCTACCCATTCCTGCCCTCAGGTGCAACAGATAATAAATTGATGCCATCTTCCCTGCGACAGCCCTTTAAGTATTGGAACACTGCTATCATGTCTCCCCTAAGCCTTTTCTTCATTAGACTAAACATACCTATTTCCCTTAGCTATTCATCATACAATTTAGCCTTCAGACCTCTTATCACTTTGGATGTGCAAAAAGTTTGGTGTTTTTTTTTTCTGAAAACCATTTTTATTCCTTGATACCTGCTGCCATTTGCTATGAAAATGTCCCCAAAGCCACTGAAAATGTAATTACTGGAATAAGTAAGTGGAATTATATAAAAATCACACATCCAACAGGACACAGAAGCTGAAAGTTACATAGTGGAAAACCAAGAGAAAAAGCCTATTCCAGTTTGGATTTTATTTTATTTTATTTTGCAATGTAGATGAGGAAAAAAAACCTCATTATACTGTAATTCCACAGGACGACTACAAATGTGATGAGTTGCTGAGGTTCGTATTTTGAAGCAGGAAATTGGTAAGTGTGATAGCTGCCCTCAGTCTTTGGAACGCCCTGCCAAGCGAGATCAGGACAGCTCCTTTAAAAAAAATATTTGTTGGTGGGGGGGGAACGTTTTTTAAAAATACTCAGACAAATCTTTGATATGTTAGATTGCTGAGTTGAGTTTTAAAAGCTTGAACAAATGTCTTGAAACATTTTTTTTAGAATATTTTTTAACAAAGGTTTTTACAAGAATTCAGTTTTTGTTTGATTTAAAAACTTTTTTAACTGGCTCAGATATTCTTTAAAGGAAAAGAAGGTTATCATTCAGATAATTAAACAATCAGTCATATGGGGTGAATCCTAAATGCTGAATAAGGACATAATAAGGTATAATCACATGGTTAATTGCAAATTGCCATCTGGAACAAAAAAATTTCCTTCTTGAGCACCATGTGCCTGTCTTAGCAATGGGCTTAAATAGATCCATCCCTTGAGGTTGTTTTTCTGTTATTTAAAAGTAAGGCAAATCTATAGCCCTGCAGAGTTTTATTATTCTGATACCAGGTCTGGGAGGTCAAATTGTTGCATCCTGAAATGTCCCTGGAGGACTCAATTGAAAGGTAGCTTTAATCAAGAAGGGCTACTAGCATTGCCAAGCAGTGATAACTACATAGCCAATGAATGAGTTTTCTTTCCTGGGCCGACAGGGACTCCTGATGGATGAAGCAATAAAGAACAGAGCAGCAGCAAGCTTTTGCAGTGTCCTGTAATTCTAGGACTAAAAGCTAAGCATAGAGGTAAAAATGTAGAGCCTTGAAACAAGAAAGCTGTTTGCAGACAGAGATCTCAGTATATACCTTGGTTTAACAAGAGGATAGGTTGGAGGTGCCAGGTAAGTTTAAAAAGGTGTGTGACTCCATGGCATTCAAAATAGTTGTTTACTTTTATTCAAGTTGGAATTATTACAAAGATAAAGCTTGATGCCAGCAATGTACTTTCATTGGCATTAATTAACCTAATTAACATCAAGCATTCAAAAGTTCATTAAAATGTTTCCTGCAAGTTTAAATCCAAAATGCCAGGCCTTGCACCAACAGAACTTAATTGAAAGCCAGATTCCTGTTTCTCATGTTAGTCATCTAAGACTCCCCCCACCACCCAACATTCATATGCTATGTAACGAAAGTTTTCAAGTTGATTTGCAATCGAAAAGGGCCTGTTTATTGGATGAGGAAATTGAAGTGGGACTTCTCAAGACTGTAATATTCTGAGAAATACATATGGAAGAAAATGATATTTCTAGTAACCCGATTCAAAGCTATTTGTAGCTTTAAGGAACTTCAGACCAACTTATTAAACAAGACCCAGAAGCAGTCAGGACCCAAGCAGCTGGGGAAGCACCAGCATAATAAGGTTGAAATGTCCAGTTCTCAGTGTCATTGTGACCCCTGTTTTGGAGTAATAGAATTGAATACAAAGGGAATTGTATCCCCAATTCATTGTTAGATGACATGTTACTAGAGCATGCAAACATGGTCAAGCTATTTTTATTTGGGTGAAGCCAATCGACAAAGCTATTAAAAGATTCATTTCCCACCTTATTAATTTTATAAATAACTCAAGGCAGCGAACACACACAATTCTCCTATTTTCCTGACAACCACCACTCTGTGAGGTAAGTAGTACTAACCACTTATCTGTTAAGGAAATTGTTGGCTCAATGACTAAAACCCACATTTCAATGGTATTGTACTCCAACCAAGACAAAATGGAAACATTTTCTTTGCTAGAGGAGCTGCCAATCAACAATATTTCCATCTTGTGTGGACTAATATAGGATCATCAGCAGTAATATATATTCCAAATATTGCTGTCTTGAAATAAGAGTAGAGGATAAAATGTGCACCACCTTAATGATGACTGGGTAATTCAAGATCTTTTAAATCACAGATGGGATCTTGCATAAGTTTTAGGGCATATCTATGTAAAAGATCTGTGCCATTTCTGATCCACCTTGGAATTATTTGATTGCATGATGTTGGCTGGTTTTCATTGCTAAGATAATTTGTTTTCCTGATCCTTATAGTTGATTTGAAATCAAAGCACAGCAGGGTGTTTTTTTCCCCAGATATGCTGCAGTTCTGGGGAGCTTGTGTGTGGGTCACTTTTTTTTTACTAGTGGGATCTGTTGACTCATTCCAAGATTCTGCTTCTGCACCTCAAAGCAATACAAATTCAATTATCCTGGAGATTGTTGGTATTATTTAGGACTTAGTCATTCTTTCCTGAACATGATTGCTAAACGTTAAATATACTTTAAATTGCCTTTTGAGACTCTTAAGTGAAGCAGATGGGTGGTGGCAAGAGCTAGGTATGTCTAGCCTATAGAAGAGAAGGATTACTGTAGTACTTGAGCTGTCACAAAGAAGAGGGAATTGACATATTTTTCAGAGCATTTGAGCCAGAGATGGGTTCCTACCAGTTCGCACCTATTCAGTAGAACCGGTTCGTCAAATCTACCGAACCGGTTAGAAGAGGTTCCACCAGTGGACCCAGAAAGCAGGCCACACCTACAGAAGAGGTTCCAAAATTTTTTGAAACCCACCACTGATTTGAGGGCAGGTCAAGAAATAATGGATGGAAGCTTGTCAAACTTAGAATCCAACTTCGGAGGAGAAATTTTCTGACACTGAGTGCAATTAGTCAATGGAATAGCTGCTTCCTGGGGTTGTGGATTCTTGGAAGTTTTCAAGAATAGACTAGACAACCATTTGACTGGGATGGTAGAAGACTCCTGCCATGAACGGGGGTTAGATTAGAAGACATCTTTCTAGCTCTATGATTCTCTCACATGGCATTATAACTGTTTGGGAGGAAGAATGCTAACCATTTTTAATTTCCTTTTTGCATGGAGCAGAAGTGAGGAATTTTGCTGTTGTTGTTAAACTGGGATCCAAGGGCTCACAAAAAGTAAGGCATTTACTGA